TCAATGTTTTCCATGTCAGGAGTTTTGGAATTTCATGGTTTAACGACTAACTTGAATAATGATTATATTATTGGATTTTTCTAATTAAAAGTAACTTAGGCTTTTCACCTTGGCCAATTATATGATTAGTTTTACCTTGTTTTTCTAAATCAAGTATAATTTGACTTAACACAATTAAGGTATTTTTTTGAAGTATCTTGTACCTGTTTTATATAGCTAAAATAAATAAAGCCTATAGTTTCTTTTTAAAAGTAAATCTATCGGCAGATGTATCTTCTTCGTTATAGCTCTAATTTGAGTGTTTTTCGTGTTTGTGTTCCTAGCAAGACGTAGATTCGTTTTATAAACTTTTTATCTTGATTTTATGTTTGGTGTACTGTTCTAATTTAGATCTATTGTTTGCTTCGTGTATGATTGCATGGATGCTTGTGTGGTGCTTTATGATCTTGTCCAGTCGATGAGCTATACGTGGTGAATCAAGAAGCAGATCTTTGAAGGTTTAGACTAGAAGAAGGATCTAAATTTAAGGCAAGTATAGCATGGGATCTTCCTTGTAGTCCTATACACCTTTAATCATCTAATTCATACTGCATGTGTCTACCTTGACTACCACTAAGGATTTTCTAGTACTTTGTTACCCTGTATCTTGATTCCTATGGGTTATTGCATTGGGTAATATGATGCTAGTGCTCAACTAAAGCCATGATCTTGCAACTTGACTAATGGTATATGCAATAAACACTAAAAGATGCTTTTTAGCAATATGGAATTTGGGGGCTAGAGCATTGGGCTATTTTATGGTGCTCTAGATTCCTCTCCCTAAGAACTTATCTGTAAGTGATCATCCGGGACTTACAGTACAACTATGAGGGCTACATGGCTCTGGCTTTAGCTCAGTATGAGGACATTTTCTAGCTTGTTTGTGGTTACCTCTATTGGCTTAAGAATGGCTTGCTGAATCGGGTCTAGTGTGGCCACTGTCCCCTTGTGTATAGGCTGCGCATCATGGTGCCATCTAGAAGGGGGGTTCTACATCTGTTTGCTGAGTGAATCTAATGGCCCTAACTTGTTAGACGAACCTTTGAAAGGCTTCATAGTGAATCCTATTGACCTTCCTTGGTAGTGGGTCAAGAGGCTGATCACCTTGGGTGAAAGGGTAAATCACGACTCACTGTGAAAGTGTACAACCTCTGTAGAGTGTAAAACTGATATATCAGTCGTGCTCATAGTCACGAGCGGCCTTGAAACCCTTACGGAATAGATGATGAACACTGATGATACGGATGATGAAGTTGCTCATTAATGATTACTATTTTGCTATTCATTATTCATGTTTACCTGATCATGTGTTTATATGGGCTTGTGAAAAAAACTTGCTGCCACCCAATTACTAAAAGATGACTCATTAAAAGCTAATCGTAGTTAAATCAGTGTCAGCCTTTTAAGCCTCATGAACCTCATGATATATTTGTTGAGTACGACATGTACTTACGCTTGCTTTTTTTCAATTATTTGGATAAAAATTCTAGATGGCTACCAGATTGTTAGAGTTTGGAGGAATTAGGCTTGTGCTCAACCAATCAGTTGTCCCTATAGAATTGGAGTCTTCACCCAAAGATCGGAGTTGTCTTTCCGCTATTTGTTGTGTAAGGTTATATTCTTTATACTAAGTACGTTATATATTGAGCATTGTCTTTCGATATTACCCTTATTTATAGCTATATGTGAGATTTGACTTTCTGAGCTCACATATGGTGTGTATTTGATTTTGTTCTTAAAACCGGGTGCTACAAAGTGATTCCGTTGGTTCGAATTTAATTAGAAGATAATAAACTTTAATATTGCAGTGGAAACATGGAAAAATTCTTTATCTACTTGTCAGAAGCGTTTTACTGTACTAACCTACTCTCTGAAAAAATTATCCCGTTGGTTCAAATTTTGACAGAGATTGAAACTAGACAAAAAATCATCAAAATTTGCTTCTAAAAATGAATAAAACAATAACTCAGTTTCTACTGTTCATTTGGCCTAGCCCGTTGAAACAGTGCACGGCCCAACGGTGAAATGCCGCCCACGCTCGTGGCCCAGCAGTGGCAAAACATAACGCGCGCGCCCGCTCCCCCACGCCCAGGCCATAACCTGGGACTGAGCTAGGATTCTCCTTCCCCGCCTGGGCCAGATGTGGCACATTCAATCGGAGCCGTCCATCTTGATCCAACGGACATCCGTTGTTCTCGCGGGTATAAAAACACCGACCGCGGTCGCGCGCCCGAACCCTAGGTCGTTCTTCACTTTCTCTTCTCTCTCTTCGCCGCGGCGTCGGCTCTCTCCCACTCTCACTCCGAACCTCGATGGCCCGAGAGAGAAGCGTGGTGGCGCCGCCGTGGCGCCCTTCGCCGATGCATGCTTGCGGCTTGATCCGTGTGCGGCGCCGTCGAGTGGCACCGCGGTGGTGCACTTTGCGCCCCCGCATGCACTGCGGTGGAGCACGACCCTAGATTTTACCAGCGTCGCCGTAGGTCCCCTCGCCGAAGCGCGCGCTCCCTAGTGGGTGAGCGCGCCGCCGTCGAGCGGTCCTGTGACGGTGCCCTAGGCCGGGCTCGCGCGCACGGCGGCGAGCGTGGCTCGGCTTCTCCCCGCGCGTCGACGAGGCGGCGGCAGAGCTCCTTCCCGCGCGACGGCGGGATTCTACCCGCGCGACGGCGGTGGTGACGCGTGGCGGAGAGTCCGGGTAGGTCCTCCCCTCCTTCGTCCTTACTCTAGGGTTAGGGTTTCGGGTTGGGGTCCGATCTGTTTCTTCAAATTGAATCCCCTCCTTCTACTCTTCTACTCGGTTTTCTACCCCGATGAGCTAGATTTACGCCTAGTTAGGCGATTGATACCATTGATAGACTTGATAGGATCATCTAGCCATAGATCTAGCATAAATACTGACATCTGATTGAATAGCAAACCCTAGAACATGCTTGTGCGAGAAATAGAGAGAAAGAGAGAGAGGGGGGGTTGCGGAGGTGCAAACCATCGGTCGCCTTCGTAGAAGACGAGCTTGCCATGGGGTGCTTGTCGGTGGCGCGGTGAGGTCCGGCGGTGAAGTCGCGGATGCAGTGGTGGCAGTGTAGAGGCGGCGGTGGTCGATGGCGGTCTTCCCGTCGCTGGCAACGCCCCCTCACTAGATCGGCTTAGGGTTTAGGGACTGTAGGTGGGGCGTCTGGCGGCTCAGGTGATTCTCGTGCCTTGTGCCCCGGCCCCCACCTCCCTTTTTACGGCGCTGTGCGACGGGGGGCCATCAACCATGGAGCGGTTGGATGCCCCCGATCAGGGCGCGGATCTAAGGGCCCAATTGGGAGATGAATCTAACAGGTAATAGTAGAGCTTTGGAGTTGGAGACCGTTTTATAAGGGAAAGTGGCAGCAGAGCATTGACGATTTGAAATGGGAAATGAAATTTAACAAGAAAAAGGTAAAACACTAAGACAAAATTATCTAACTGTGGTCTACTGAGAATAAAAGCATGTTTCACAATCTTTTAAAAAATGGCAGAAATCAAATGCGCACAGGTTCTGTTTTTAACTCTTTGTCATGTATGTATATATCCATTTCAGCCCTGCCATTTTGGCCTAGTGACAGTATGGATGCACTTACATGCACAAACACTCTACTCGTAGTGACCATCTCCGACAGACTAAACTGATAAATCTCAAGATTGGCAAAATCATTGCATGCGTCTTAGTGTTGGCAGGCATGCTACTATACCACTGAAAATTCAAAAAAAAATGCAATCACGCATGTCAAGTTGAGATCTTGAATATGTGTTGGTAGGTTCGTTAGTATGCCACAACAACATAGCAATGCCTATACTTGTGAGCTGCGAGGACACGGTGAATGTTGTGAGAAGTAAAAGGAACCAAATGCCGAGTCCAATGGTTATCATCGAGGCGTGATCCATTGTAACGGAAAATTTGCGATGAGAAACGTTGCAGGAAAGATTGAGAGATAATAACAAAGGAATGAACACTGCAGGGAAAAAATATTCTGATTGTCAGTCCATGGAGAATAACAGCTTTGAAGTTTCTAGCAGCTGCGTACTCGTATAGTGTGATCCAAGTTTGCAAAGCGAAGATTTTCTGGGCATGATTCCTTATTACCACGGATTATCATAAGCCACAAGTTGCCCACTATGCAAGATCAGAAAGATTTCTCATACCATCATAAAGCAATGACAAGTTGCTAGACATTCTGTCAATTTGCAGAGGGCAGGATTACTTTCAACTTTTCTAGATATATATTGACCTGTTCGCTTGGCTGATAAGCCATGACTGAAGATACTGTTGACTGATTTGTTATGAAAAAAAAATACTATTCATTGACTAAAAAAGTACGGTTTATAAGCCAAGCGAACATAGTTAAGATTCCAGCCTTCCAGGACAAAGCACCAGGCGTCTTAAGGACATGATCCCGGTCATTGCTAGTTGCAGCCAGCACAGTTCTACACTTCTACTCTTCGTTTATGATAAAAGTGTGCCACTGCATCTACATTGCAAGATTGTGCAGTGATGCAAGGCAATTATGAAAGTAATTCACCACATCAAACTTTCAATAACCCATATAAAAATAGCTCCCACAAAGTTGCAACCATCCAAACAACAAAGCGAGGCAGGCTATCAAATGATATTTGCTCGCATTTCATCTAACCATCGATCAGGCACCCAATTGGCCGGTTACATCCCTCATCAGGAGTTAGCAAACATTAAAACTCTAGGCTCTCTAGGTTTGTTACAATAGCTACATCAATAGGTTTACACAACACACAAAAACACAAAGCACACCGCGACGAGCCATAAATAATACATGGCTGCAGTGGGGCGACTCTACATGGCCCCGGCGGGCTGTGAGGACTAAACGACAGCTTTGCTAAGAAAAAACACTGATTGATGATGGGTGTTGTGGTTAGATAAGAAACACCTCATCTCATCTTTGTCACTTCCTCATCACCTCTGTCTCTCACCTAGTGTTAGCCTCCGGTTTGTGGCTGCCTCCCGCATAGTTCCCATTGCTGTTATTATTAGATTTCTTGTGGAGCTGGCCCTCATCGTCATGATGCTGCACCTTTGGTGGGTCGATGCTCATTCCCAATGTGGTTGTGACACTTGGTTCCTGGGAGTGAGCCATTCCACCCTTAGCAAGTATGTTAAGGTTAGATAATGTTGACATGACAAGAAATTATGTGAAAGAAGTAGCATCGCCAAGTGATGATGAAAAAGGATAGCAAAGCTCATTGTGCTCACCAATAGACGTGAATTTTCTGCTTCCATGTCTTGGCAAGCCTTCTTGAGGTTGTCAAGTTCTGCTCTGAGAGAACTATTCTCAGTTGTTAGGTCAGCTACCTTCCTTGCTAGTTCCTCACACTCTTGCTGAAAAACAAGACATGGTAGGTGTGAACATTTTTTCATAATCATAAGCGTATATTTTGAAAATATATAAAGAAGAAAAGAAAATGAGTTTACTACAAGGTATATGTACGCAACAAGTAAGGAATCAACATTTCCATATTTCTTGTACATTCCACTATTCAAGCTTTGCTCCACAATTGACATATACTATATAAACTGTTATATGTGTATCCGGGGGACAGTAGCCGCTAAATGGTAGGCATGGATTACATACCTAATTCGACATTATATGTTCTAGCCCCACCTTGCGATCCGAACCATGAGCCTGTTCGTTTCGTCGTAAATGATCGTGGATTATTTACTGCTGGCTGGTTTGGTGTAAGAGAAAAATACTGTTCCAGCTTATAATCCACGATCGTATACGAGCAAGCGAACAGGCTGCATGTAAATTGGAAATTTTGCATGAAGGTCACACGGTTGGCTCAACTAGAAACTTTAGCTCGTTGATAAACGTATCGAATCGATATCTTGAAGCTAAAAGCTATACTGTGCTTTCGATACTATTTAACAAATGAGTAAACTTCAGATCAGTGGGCAGCCATAAGAACACTCAAGTCGTCCAATTGTGGATCAACAACATAGTTTAATTGAAATGCATGTCATCAAGAACTCGGTCAACAGCATGAAACGAAGAGGAAAACCTGATTATTTATCGATGACAGTTGAGGCTCAAAATGAAATTAGCAAATACAACCTAATAATCACTACTAGCTTTTCCCTATTTTCAATTGTTACTCACAGGAAAGCACCATTCACAATCTTTGGTTTTGTTTTTCAAAGTTTTGGGGCATTATAGCAACCAACTGAATTAGAGAGAGCAGAAAATACATAGCAAACAATGTATAAAAAGGACCAAAAATGATGCAGTCAGATGAATATTTATCTCTCTTTTTGCACGCCTATTGCTATTGGAAACATATCACTTACATAATGAACATCAAAGAAAGCAGCTAAGATTAAGGGCTCCAAACATCAATATTCTTTAGTTTTCAATTAATACACTGCTGTTATTATTTGTTTCATTGTATGTGTCAACATATTTCCATGCTTTTGGTTGCCTATACGAATTTACACAGATAAGCATTCTTAATACGTTAAAAGGAAAAGCATGCCCTGAGCCAGAAATAATTTTTTAACGTCAAGGTAAAAACTTCATTCTGTTTCAGTTCACCAACTCTAGCATTTGTTTAGTGTTCTTTACTTCTTTCCCAATTGCATGAATAAATGTTTTTTAGTGGATTGTAGATTCTTAATTGTGACAGCAGATCCCTCCCACCCGTAGGATTAATTCTGTCTCTCCTCTTAGATCATCATCCTTTGATTTAACACATAGATTCCTGCTTTCATGAGCTGACAGTGATGTGAAAGGAATAACGCATAATATGTACTTCCCCATTTGCTCTGTAATTCATTTATGCTCTCTGATGCAGTGAATAATGAACTGAGAAGTCTTAACAAATTTGGTTCATCATGCTAGTTTTGAATCGAAAAGGTGGTTGGTACACAAAAACAAATTTTAGCTAGTAAGTTCGAAGCGTATGAAGCTACTATGAAGCATTTGGTACACAGAATAAACTGAAACATATGAAGCTAGTAAGTCATGCACCCATCATTACTGAAAGACAAGACTAGGCATGTTCTATCATTTCAGGACTTCTCATTAATCTTTGCTACCTCAATTAGTCAATCAGCATCTGCGCTTTTGTAAAACTGGTAATTAATAAATGACATGAGGCAGCTCTGTCAGAGAACCACAAAATGTTTTCTGGGTTATGAATCATGATGCAGCACCCGTAGGTTTAGGTACCATTTCCTTGTCGAAAACAATTCCCAGATCCAGAGGCCAAGCAAGCACATTATTTTATTTAAAATAGACTAGTACCAGTTAACCCAAAATCAATGAATTTTGAAGATCTTTCATGACTCTAATTAAATCTTGGTAGGACAACCAGGATACAACTACTTTTGGGAAAATTTGGCTCCAAATTGCAATATGCCAGTATTATCCTCTAGTCCCCTTGTCTTGAATTACCATGAAAACAGATGTTCACCAGGTTGACAGAAACTTGTATGTGCAGATTGTACACGAAGAAACAAAAAAAATATATAATGAAATAATTCTCTCAATGGCGTTCTGCAGGAAATGAGGATGTACTGATTCCAGTACTACCTGCTTGCGTAACCTAGATCTCCTTGCAGACTCCCTGTTAGATTGTTTTCGCCTTTCCCTCTTCAATTCGCGTTCATCCTGAAGAAGTAAGAAACTTTGATCAAAGAAATAGGTCTGAATAAGGCACAATTATGATCTGTAACTTTGCATAAGACAAAAAAAATCATGAATCAACAGATATCCTATAGGAATTATGCACATAATAAATCAATTTCAAGATGAGGCTAAGATTCAGCAAAGGAAGTCCATACCAGTTGAGTAACGCCATCACGTCGGGCAAGTGCCAGCCCAGGATTCGCTTCCCCCTGCACTGCAGGAACAGCCAAGGCCGGAGAAGCATTCCAAATGTCCATCCCAATGTTTAGATTCGGGGTGGCACTAGGAAGCGTCGCCCGCCCAGGTGCAGACACCGGAAGCTTCGAGGCAGACCTTCCTTTTGCGGGATATGGCGACTCAACCGCAGCATAGCGCACAACAGCAGCTTGAGACGGCTCACCTAGCATCACACCAATCTTTAATTGCTCACTCCTTTCTGATGAAAAAGGCCAAAGATGAAATAAACACTAACCTTCAGCCGATGTGTTACCAGATTTCCTCTTCTTGGGCGCAGATGAATCCTGAGGAGAACAAACATGAACCACAGAAAGCCAGCTAATTACAGGAAAAACATGGAATTTAAAAATAGTCCCCTGTGGCACAGCAAGTTGTTTGGTACCTTATGGTCAGTGTCATCATCTCTAGTCTCTGACGACTCATCGCTGCCGCTGTCACCACTACACACGCAACAGAATTCGAACTGAAATTTAGCCAGAAAAAGGAAAGGGGAAGAAAAGAAATTTAAAACTGCAGCGCTGACAAGGCAATAGTGAAAGCCGGTACCTCCTGGAGGCGTCCTCGCCGGAGGGCGCCCCGGAGCTGCCCTTCTCAGGCGACGCGCCCCCGCCCTTCCCCTTGCCTTTCCCTTCCGGTAGAGGAGCCGCCAGCACCACCGCGGGGACAGCTTCGCTCGTCGGGTAAGGCACGCCCTGCATAGCAGCAAATTCACGCCAAAACCCTTTCAAATCAAGGCCCAATTCTCTCGGAGGGGCAGCACGAGATGAGGAGGGACACTCACCGCGGCCATGGACGCGTGCGCGTAGTACGCCGCGGCGGCGCCTGGGTGGTAGACGGGGAACGGCACCGGCGTGCCGAAGGGCGCCCCCGCCGCGGCCGCCGCCATGAGGTGCTGAAAATCGGAGGAGAAGCAAGCAAGGAAACCCTAGTCAGAACCCGGAGTCACCACCTCTTTCCCCTCCCCGCGCCCAAAGGGCCAGAACCTCACCTGCGCCGGCCAGGCGTAGGGGTGGTGCCCCGCAGCGGCGTAGTAGGCCTGGAGCGAGGCGGCCCACTCGGCGTGTGTCTGCGGCGGCACGGCGGTGGCGGCGACCACGGCGGCGGCGGCGGCGGGCGGCTCCGGCGGCTTGGGCTGCTCGTCGGAGGACGACGCCATGAGGGTCTGCGCGGGCACGGGTGCTGAGATCTGGAGGCTCCTTCCCCCGCTGGTCCCGGGCGGAAGCGAGCAGCGGTGGCGGTCGGTTTGGGTGTGGTGGGACGCGTGCGCGTCGCCGGCGGTGAGCCTACCGGGGGGGCGGTGTGGGGAAGCAGGCAGGGCAGCAGCAGCAGTCGCTGCGCTGCGTTGGGAGGGGAGGGAGGAGCAAAAAGGCGCCTGCTTTGCTAGGGTTCGGTGCCCTCCGTCCCGTCCCCGTGTACGCTTTCCCATGTGCGCGAAGCACCCCCCGCTCTCCGACGTGGCGCCACGCGGTTGGCGGGAACCGCTGCAGGGCCCGGCTGGATCGACACGCGGACGGCGCTTTTGGGGTCGGGCCCACGCGTAGGCGTTTACGGTGGGCGGCGGTGGTGCCAGTGAAAGGACAAGTAGTCATTCGGTGGACGGGCGGTCAGAGAGGGCGGGGGTGCTGGGTAGTACAGGTGGTGGTGCTCGGTGGGTGGGGTGGGCCTTCGGGCCCGCATGTCAGTGGGTGGGAGGTGGTGGGGTCGTGGGGGCTGAGTCGGACGCGGCGGGATCCGCGCCCCCGCCCCGGGGGAGGACAGCGCGGCACGCACCGAGTGGAAGCGACCAGAGCACCGCCCGGGTCGTACTGGGCCTTGGGCCTTGGGCCTTGGGCCTTGGGCCTTGGGCCTTGGGCCTTGGGCCTTGGGCCTTGGGCCTTGGGCCTTACGCCGTGGCGCGCGGGCCACGGAAGCCTGCCTGTGCCGGCACGGCCTTGGACTCTTGACTCTTGGTGGTGTGTGGTCCGGCGTGCGTGACTTCCTTTTGTGAGGCTAGAGAATTGAGAGACCCAAGCTGTGGAGAAATTCGTGGCTCGATGCTTAATCGGTCACATACATACATCGTTTCAATAATCTATATTTTCCAAAATCGAGTTTGGAAAGAACGACACGCGATTGGATTGTACAGCTCAAAAGCGAGTGTCCGAAATGGTTGTTTGGCAACTTGGGTTCTACTTTGTGTTGTCTTTCTCTCCTTTCTTTCGCTTCCATGCGACACAGTGGCTTAGTGGGTTAATTTGTGTGCCCAGATCCGGTAAAAGTTGGATTTGAGTGGATCGTTGTACGATCGTGGAATCTATCCGGGGATGAAAAGTTGGTCATTTGTTCAAGTAGGGATTACGAAATCTAGGCCCTGAAATGAACGGTCTCTAGCTAAAACAAACATGGTGAAACGGTCTGTAGCGAGAACAAACATGGTGATGCGATTTTGGCTACCATCATCCACGTGCTAGTGGGCTAGTGGCCATAACGTACACGAGTGAGTGCTATGCTTTTTCGGTGTTTTTTTGTCGGGTAATTCTTGTGGCAATGCCATTATTTTAGTTGATTTCTCCCATAGAAATATACAATTAATGAATTTTATATACCATTTTAGTTGATCATTTCTATGAGAATTATAATGATTTTCACAAGAAATGAATGTCTCAACGGTTGATTTCTAGAAATGAATATTAGTCGATTTCTACCATAGAATGTAGAATTAATGAATTTTATACTATTTTAGTTTCTTTTAATACGGTGTTGAGTCAACTCATAAACTTAAAAGGTGTTTTTGGTTTCAAGAATCCAACCATTTTAAATGAGGTGGTGCATCATAATTTTATTTCTCAAATTTGGTGGAATGATTTCATTCCCCACACTAGTACTAATTATTAGCTTGTGAGGAATTCGGTGATGATGCATCGATTCATTTTCTATTCTACAAACCAAAACACAAAAGGTGAGGATGAGTAAATGATAGACTAACTCATTTCTGAAACCAAACACACCGAAACATTCATTTCTAGTTAGAACAGTTTAGATTGAGTTAACTTTTTTATGGTTTATGTATGGTTTGGCGCACATTCATCTATGTGTGGCAGTGGCGGGAAGTGTGTATCCATGTAATGAAAAAACATTGCCTATTGTTGGCGGCTAAAACACGATCAAAAAATTTGATGGACTAGAGAAATCATGTGCGAGAAAAAATGATTAAATTTGGATTAAACTAAGTAAATTAGTAAACTCTCTGGGAAAACCGTTTAGGCTAAGAAGGTGTCGCCAATTAGATAAATCAGTCTAGATAGGTTTTGCCCGGGCATCCGTAATGGCCAATAAAAACCGGCCTAAACCAGTTTTAGAAACTGTCCTGAGCCGGTTTTGGCAGTCTAAGCCACAAATCATGTTTTCCTTTAAAATCGGTCTAATCTCATGAAAAACCTGTAAACCTAGTGTGGAATAAGTTTCCTACTAGGATAAGACCGCTCTCTATATTTATAAGAGAGGATCACCATGGATTGAGAGATCTACCTATCCAATTGTCAAAATCGCATCTATCTTTACCTTTTACCTCTAAACTTAATCTGTTCCAAACCCTTGTTGTCCAACACTTCTTTCAATGAGATTTATAGGTGTTCTAGGTGATCTTGGCGATCCTTGAGTACCCTCATTGTGTGTCTCTGTGACGGGTCTTTTTGGAAGGCATTCATGGATTTTTTGGGCAAAGACGAACAAGCGTCAAATCGGCCTCGTCAACCTACTAGTTGACCTCGTCATCTAGACCTACCTTCATTGTGTACATATGTCATGTGTGGCCTCAAGCGATCTAGCCCCTACCTATGTGTTGAACAGATTTAGTGTCAACATACTTTTTTGCAATCTGTTGAGGAAGAAAGCAAGGCATATATATCTACTAAGATGACCAACGCTCATATAGATCCAAACAACTCCAAGAACATCATCAAGCCTTTGCATGACCAACTTTTTGAGGAGATTCGCCTAGAGGAGAGGCGAAGGCTGAAATTCTTGCCGATTTGAGTTTGCCCTAGCATACTTTGAGTTGGCGGAGAGAGCTGCCAAGAAGATCAAAGACGTTCATTTTGATTATCCTCTTTATACTACATCCTCATTTGAGGTAAAAACTATCGAACCTCTTCTGAGCTCTAGTATGACTCATGATGAATGCACCAAGATGCTTGTTGAACATACTAAAATTTGTCTCAACCCAGGCGCAAAAGAATCTTAGCAAGTTTATGGATAGCCATAATAAAAGGGAGGAAAAGAGATATGAAATTTCTATTTTTCCTCGAGATGCATATGTTATTGGATCATCCTCTCGGTTGCTAGTCAACCCTAATATAGGATGTTGTTTGGTTTTTTCAAGTGACAAATGAGTTATACATCAGCCACTGAAACCGATATGACCAATTTTGAGAGATTTGGAACTATTTTACCGATACTTGCCTTTGCGTAACCATCAGTTTTTACCACATGAACCGATAGCAATACAAAAGCACCACATGTTCCTTTTGCTCATAATATGGTTTGCCAAACCCTCCTAACACATCTTTTAAGAGTTAGCAAGCTAATACATTTGCATATACTTCACAAATCAACAATTCAGCCCCATGAGATGATTCTATAAACCAATTTAAGGAGGAGTTGATAAAAAATATTACCAGAAAGTATTGACTTGCATATAAAGTCAGTATTATCCTAAACTCTAAAAGGAAAACGGTCGGTCACACTTGTTTCGCCATTATTCAGACAAAACGATCATTTAAACAAGCAAAACAACCGTTTAAATGGGATAAATGGACAATTAAAAGGATACAACATACCATTATGTAGCGTTTAAACAGTGAGTAAATGGGTAAACAACTGTTTAGGCGAATAAAGTCAACCACGAGTATTAATAGTAAGCCATATCTTCATATTTTGATTACATGAAAGTTCATGATAGTTGGAAAGTGCCTAATTTTTTTTTTATAAATTCAGTGGTGAAAGTAATAAAATCACAAGGGAGCACATTAGTATATTTATTGCTCAATTGGGTGAAGCTAGTATCATAGAACATATGAGAATTTATAACCTTTCATTATCTCTTAATGGCACTACTTTTTGTGGTTTTCTTCTTTTGTAACCTTGCTCTATTAGTTCTTGGGCACAACTAGAAGAAAAAGGTTTCATGAACATTTTTACAATAAAACTAGTGAGCTTAAATTTTCTAATTTAGCATCGATTGAGCAAAGGCGTGATAAGTCCATTTTTATTAAAAGATTCAAATATTAAAAACTGATGTTTCAGTTTGACAATTTAGATAAGGTGTGGTTCTAATGTTAGATTTTATGAAAAAATCAACAAATATGTAATTAAAATTTTTAGCGACTTGAAAAATCATTAATTTACTGATTGTTTTTCTAAAACTATTGGAGATGTTCTTATATATTTCACAAAGGATAAAAATAACTGCTCCTCTTGTGTTTTGATTTGCACTTTGTACTATCTTCGTCCCTTAAATCCGACTAAGTTTTTAGAAAATATTATTAATATTTATGACTCTAATTATGCATACTATTAATTCTAATATCCAATTAGTAAATCTACTATACTAGTCCTAGTTTATATAGCTTTATAAAAGACTAAAATTAAAATAAAGCTCAGATCAGATTATTACTAACAAACTGATTAAAATAAAATAAATCAAGAAAAGGACAAATCCTCACGGGTGAGGGTCACCACCTCGTGCTAAGTGGGTGTTTGGATCCAGTGACTAAAATTTAGGAAGTATGTCGGGAGGAAGTTGCATGGGGTATTCGGATACTAATAAAAAAATAAATTATATAATCCGTCAGTACTCCACGAGATGATTTTTTAAGCCTAATTAATCCGTCATTAGCATATGTTTACTGTAGCAAATCATTGTCAAATCATAGACTAATTAGGCTTAAAAGATTCGTCTCGCAAATTAGTCGCAAACTATGCAATTAGTTTTATAATTCGTATATATTTAATACTCTATGCATATGTCCAAACATTCGATGAGACAGCAACTAAAATTTAGAAGGGGCAAACAAACACCATCTAAGCCTCCTGAGTTCGTGCCGCATCGTCTTCCCGACCAGTCCACCCCTCCCCCCGTCCGACCCCTAGCTCGATTCAGCTCGCAGCTCAAAGCAG